TGAGAGTGTGTGTGTGTGTGTGTCAGTCACCTGGGACTGCCACTATCTTCCTCAGCTCCTGCTTCAGCTTCATAATGTCTTTGCAGAGCTGAATATCATCCATCCTGAGAAGAACATGAAATAAAACCAGTCGCTCAGATTCCGCCATTCCAGAACTATGAATTTTAAAGAGGAAAATTAAGGAGAATCTCAGCGTTTCATTCTGAACACATGCAGTAAATGCAGCAGCTACTCACATGAAGTGCAGCTCAGACTCGCGTCTCACCAGCACCTCCCGCAGACGCTGAATCCGAGCCATTTCCGCCTCCATCTCGTCTGCAGACATGGAGCTTTCAGCCATGGACACGTCCATCTGGCCTTGGGTACAAACAGACGGTGAGTGAGTGAGAGTGTGTGTGTGTGTGAGTGTGTGTGTGTGTGTGTGTGTGGGGGTGTGAGTGAGAGTGTGTGTGTGTGTGTGTGTGTGTGTGTGTGAGTGTGAGTGAGTGAGTGAGTGAGAGTGTGTGAGAGTGTGTGTGTGAGTGAGTGAGTGTGTGTGTGTGTGTGTGTTGATGTTGCAGTTTTCTCAGGGCTCTTTCATTGTAAGATGTGTGTCGTACGTCACTGCTGTATCACGTGTCTTCATCGAGTCTCAGTGTGTGTGAATCAGTGTTTTGGTGGTTTTTATTGCATGTATGAAGTCAGTTCTGCTCAGGTTCATACACGTGGAGATATTTAGTAATTCTGTTCATCTTTCTTGTGGCTATTATAAAGCTGATTATGACACAATATATTCTGATCTAAACAGTCAATCACTTCCTCTATTTTGGGATAATTTTCATTCAGACAGCGATATGACATTCTAAAATTCAGTAATGCATCCAGTAACAGAAACATCCGACTGTCTTTTTCTTTGTGAGCTCAACAGAGTCACAGATGTATGCATCCATGTACAAATGTTATGTTAAAAAAAAGAAAATAATATCGAGGTGGAACAAAATTGGAAAAAAATTTTTTTTTTAAAAGAGTATGTCTTGATACTGTAGAAATAATATTGTTACTGCTTGCATGATAATATCAGTTGTGTCAACTGAAGGGTAAGTGGAAATAAAACGATTGGGTTAAATAGTTCTGTAAAAAAAAAAGGAAAGGCAAAATAAAAGCGCTGTAATGTAAAGCTGAACTCTGTGCTGTGATTGGTCAGACACACAGCGGGTGTTTCTTCAACTTCAGGCACTTCTGTGTCTCAGAGGCTGAACTTCTTTTTTGTTATATAAAGGTCACTATTACATGTTCTCTGTTTGTTTGGACTTTTATGTTGTAGTTCTTGTTTCTTGGTTTCCTGTGTTGGGTTTTGTAGTCTTTTGTAGCTTTATTAATGATCCTTGTTATCTCGTTAGTCTGTCTGAATAATTAACCCTGGTGTTTCCCATGTTTGTTGGTCAGTTGTTAGATGTACGTGTTCCGGTTCCCGGTGTTACCTGGTCCTTGTTCTGGTTTTGCTCTTCTTATTAAAAATCCCACATCTCCTGCTGCCATCCTTTGCTTCCCGTGTTACAGAACAACTGGCCGTACATGATCTATCGTCTTTCTCTGCCAGGATGATCGTTCCCTCGAGGACCACATTCGTGAGTCTCTGAGTTTCTCCTATCACACACACTTCCAATTCTCTGATCATTCTTTATTGCTCTGGACTCAGTGACCCACTTCAAACTCAACTTTGCAGTGAGGTCCTCGAGGGAACGAGCTCTTCAGCAAAGCAGATCAGCTTCCCAGTGGAAGCGGTCGGAGCCTGGTCCACAGAACTCACAGCCGGGCCGGTCCCGGTCTCTGGTGGTCTTGGAGGTCTGTCCATCATCAGCTGTGCTCGCTGATGTTTGTCTGCTACAGCTCTCTCTGTGCTCTCCGGCCCGGCTGCACTCCTGCTCCTCATTGATCTCCCTTCGTGCTCTCCGCTCCATCAGCCTCCTGGACTCTTCTGTTTATTCAGCATCTGTGGCTCGGTTTCATGTTCCCTGGACTTTCATTCACATTAACCCTATCCTGAACACTTTAAAGATCTTCCTGATTACTAGAAAGCTGAAGTCAGCTGAGTTTGGTCAGGTTTGGAACTAAACTCTGAGCTGAGAAGCCTTGTTCTACAAAACTGATGATTTATTGTGGAATGTTTTCTCTCTCTCTGAAACTGTTTATTTAATACCACCTTAAAGGGCAATTTTTCCATTAATGCCACTAAAAGTTTTTAGTATTAATTTGACCAGAACAGCAACGGAGTTACTGAAGCGCTTGAGATGAAATGTGAGGCATGGCTTGTTTGAAGAAACACATCAAAAATCATTTTATTACAAAATGTTGCACAAGTTCACCTGCTGGTATAATTCTTGGGTGTAATAAATGTAAACTGATTTGGTTTACTATCCAAGACAGACAGATCAAAGCTTGACTTAATTATTACTAAAATTAGTAATAAAAGAATAGGAATATAATTTAATGGCTGAAATAATTAAAAAACAGTATTGAAAGCTGTTTCAATACTTCAGTGTATTATTATTATAATTGACAGGATAAGACATGTCATTTCCACCACAGCATGCTATTAAACATCCTTAATTAATGTAATGAAAATGGCATATGTTGTATCATAAAAATGACAAAATAAATAAATAAATAAATCGTGTTCTGTCCACAGCTGGACATTGTCAGTGGACAGGTTAAATAAAGCAGTGAACGTGTGAAAAGAGCTGAAGAAACACACAAGCATGCTTTAAATGAAAGGGTCACTTAAATAAATACATTGATGACCCTGAAAAACACGAGAGCGCAGCTGAATCATATCTGATAGCATCAGTATCGCGTCTGATAACAACACTGCAATCATATCTAATAATAACACTAATATCGCATTGACAATAATAGCATGTGTGATAACAACTGAAATCATATACGGCCTAATATCACGTCTGATAATCAGAGTGAAACCATATGCGATCATAAGACTAATATGATATCTGTCTGTCACCTCTGTCTCTGCTCCGGTTTGTCTCCTGCAGCGCGCCGTAGGTTTTCTTCATCCCTTCGCTTTCAGAAATGGCTTTCTTTAACTCCATAGTAAATGTTGATGTCACAGATCTCGGGTTCCGTTGATTTTGTCGCTTTCTCGTCGCTGTAATCACGCTGATCTGCGCTCATCCGCGGAACCGAACAACATCATGACGGAAGCTCCGTGACGTCACCGTGATGAGGATGCAGGGCGCATGCGCACAAAGGATGACGGCCCGACACTAGAAAGGGATGATTAATCTGCATTTTATAGCCTACTGTTGCCTGAATCTGACAGACAGTCGGATAGTTGTTTCTACATATCTTAACCAGTGACATAATAATAATCATACTAGTTGTTATTGATTAGTAGCCTAAGCCGGTGAGTCTGATTGTTATTTTTGAGAACATGCGCTTCATTTCAGACTCCGCTGCTTCGCTCGTGTGAACGGCTCCTTTAAATAAAATAAAGTTAAATAAATAAAGTTCATGGATGTTGCTTGAGTGACAAAGTTGGAAAAAGGACAGCACTGCAGGATTAGGAAACATCTATCCGACTGTCAGATTTAGACAACACTTCATATACATATATGATTCGTTAATAAACCGAGTATCGATCACGAACCTTACAGTAAATGATAATTTCACATTACTCATTAACAGTAATAATTACTGTTACACAATTAACAGTACTAAAGTTAAATAAGTGTTGCGCTCATTTTAGTTCATGACAACTGTCAGTTATATTCTAAAGTCCAACCCATTAAATAATCTGAAACAACAAATGCCTGAAAGTTATTTTTAACATGGTTTTATTCTGTTAACATATAATTTACAGTAAATACAGAATACAGTAATATTTCTCCCATATCTGTAGGTGATTCATTCATTTGAATTAAGAAAAAATTATGAAGATATTCAATATATTTACAGTTTGCTAAAAAAGCACCAACCAATTAAATACATTTTAAATATTTTCATCCCACTGGAATTGCTGTAGTGTGCAAATCGAAAAAAAGTGCCTTAAGATGGATGAAAATAGATTACTAAAAGTAGAAACATATATGTTTGAAACAAGAATTAGCTGCTTTATGCACAAATATATAGGAAATACTAGTATTAAAGGGGTCATATGATGCTGCTAAAAAGAACATTATGTTGTGTATTTGGTGTAATGAAATGTGTTTATGCGGTTTAAATAAAAAAACACATTTTCCACATACTGTACATTATCGTTGCTCCTCTATGCCCCGCCTTTCTGAAACTGATGCTCACGACAACGATCCGCGAACAGTTCAAAATGAAATATGGATCGATTCTCAACGCTGCTGCATGACCAGTGTATTCCTGTGATCACTGTTCCGTCGGTGTGACGCGCATGCGCAGATCCTCCCAATCGCCCCGCCCACTGACCGGAGGGTCCGAGCGCTCGTGCTCCGCTCATCTGAACGAGGATTTCAACAAACAAAGACTGAACGTCCAAACGAATAAACACACTTAACATTGCAGAAAAGGTGGACTTTATCATGAACCACTAGTTTCTTAGCATGAGATCAGAGAGTATTTTTATTTCGAACTTTCTACTGCTATATTAAAATTATTTACATCGCCTACTGATGTGTTTGTTTCAAGAAATAAATAAGTAGAAAGCAAGCACATGCGTTTGTTCTTCTTCTTTTTGAGTCATTCTGTTTCAGCAAGTTTCTGAAAACTTCTTACAAATGATTTTCTATTAGTGTAATAAAGGTGTATTAATGTAATAATTAAAACTGTTATAATCACATGTCTATAGAAGCTCATTCAGAACCTGAGATCATGGTGTTCTTATTCCTGCAGTCACTAGAGTACTTTTACTAGCTATTAATTTATTTGCATTTTACCATTTCTGTACATATTTGATCATGTCTGGAATACAAATGAAAAGGACATTGACTCAGCTGTACATTAACTTCTTTATATTCAGCGACGTTTTCAAATAAACCCCATTTCTGTCTTAATGTGCGACGTTTAGTGTTTTCTGCTGCATATTTGCACGTATGAATCGCGTTCTGATGAAATATTTCTGAACTGTGTCTGCTGCACGACCGAACCCGTGTGTCCCGTCATGCCCCGGTGCATTGTGGTCGCTGTCAGGGGCGCATGCGCACAGCGGAGCTCCATCTTTCCATCCCGAGCGCAGAAGAGCAGCGGATGTGTTGATGCTTTTGGACGTTTTGTTTTGATTTTTAAACGCCCAGAGTCTCTGCGAAACAAACCCGAGCGGACGCTTCCTCCGTTATTATCCTCCCGGGAGCTTCCAGCCGACAGAGATGCGGCGTGTGGCGGGTGTTATGAGGTAGATTGAGCCGCTGCTGCTGCGCTTCGGCCGCGGAGACACATCTGAGAGAATCCGCTGCAGGAGAGTTTCCGGCCCGCGCGAGCAGGTACGTGCTGAGCTTCTGTGCGTGCGAGTGTATGTTTGTTGCGCGTGTGTTGTTTAGGTTAGCAGTTAGCTCTGTGTGTGTGTGTGTGTGTGTCTCTCTCTCTCTCTCTCTCTCTCTCTCTCTCTCTC